TATATATTAAAGCAAAATCTAGAAAAATATAAAAATTAATTCAACTTTGATTGGAAGATCTCATCCACTTCTACTTTAACTGCAATATCCAAAAGTCAGTCAATACCATTAAAGTTTAGTTAAACTGCTTGTCAAATCTGACATTTGTAGCTTATATTCCTTGTTGCCCTTTTCAGATCTCTGGCAGCTAAATGTTTCGGCGAATCCATTGACAAACTTCCACATCGAGAAGCTGGCAAATTTGTGCCATTTGCGAGTCATCGATCTGACGCGAACGCAGATCAATTCATGCGACTGCCAGCAGGTGACCAATCATCTAATGACGATCGGCGCTAATCCCAAATTTGTGCCCGTCTGCATGGGTAAGTAGAGATGCGAGGGGAGAAGCAGACGATGCAGATGCAGCAAATGTTGATGCTTTTGCTGCGGCTGTAGCTAATTTTGGCATGTGACCAAGTTTTGAAATTTGCATTTTGCATTTTCCGTTTTGCATTTTACAGATTCGCTAGACAGCAGCGTGTGTCCACTGCCCTACAATCGCACCGTTAACTCGGAAACATTCCGTGGCTGTATGGACAGCGCGGAGTTGGCCGAAGTGCGCAGCCTTTGGCTCTTTGGCGCTGGCTGCTTCGGTGGCGTCTTCTTGGTGCTGCTGGGTGAGTTGGGCTAGTGGAGTAGAACACCTCGAGTTATATATATAATATAACATTGTTGTTTTTGTGTCTTTCACAGTATTGTGGTACTGCATCCACAGATGGCGCAAACGGCGCGCTCGTCGACGTCTTAGCCAATCAATACGGAATCGCAAACATTTTGTGATATCGCCGCGAAATGCAACCAACAATCGGATGGAGGATGAACCCCTGCACTGTGATACTGCCTCAGCATGACCCTTAGCCTACACTTAGTTAAGATCGATGTAGTTAAAGTCCAGTTATTTATTAGCCTAGCTCTAGTGACCCTTAGTTTAGTATGCCACAGACTATCTATCGAATTGCCATATACCAACTATGTGTACCAAAAACTTTAGCAAGTGCCTCAAGTGCTCAAGCTATTTAAGGAATTGTTCTACTTACTTTATATAAATTTTACAAACTGTTTTTTTTTTTATGTATATAGTAGTTATTTCGCATGCGATTTGAGCCAAATGAAAAAGTGCCTTTTAGCATAAGCGAGCGAACCCTCCAAAATGCAGATGTGCATATATATTGGTCAAACAATGACAACTGTTCAAAATATACATTCTAGCGAAGAAATGCCAAATTTTTTAATTTGTTTGTTATTTAATGAACTAAAATTAGCTTCTTTACTATTATTTTGTAGCATACTTTCGAGCGCAGTTAAATTTTAAGTAAATATTGCCTACTTTTAAACTACATATTAAATTCACCAATCAAAATTTGCATTGCATACTCTCGTGCGTTGCAAAATAAATAAATTCCAATAAACAATGAAAATTGGCCAATGTTCATTTGAATGCTTATAGGAAATCTACAGGAGAGCAGCCACAATTATAGATGTGACTGGAGCAATGCATGTATGTATATAAATATAAGAAAATATTGGGTAAGTGAATTCAGCAATAAAACTAAGTCTTTATTTGTTATTGATTACGGTTTGTGTACTCCTAAACTGTAGATCAAAGTTCACTTAGTACTTATCAGACAACAATTCTTGAATAAAAATGAATAATCATTCCCGTATGCAAATAAACATGCTCAAATATGTTTCCCAGCTAGGTTCTGGAGCTGAACTTATCGTGGGTGTAATTTTCAAGGTCTTTCCTAATGCAACAAGTGCACTTGCGCTCTTAAAAAGCCGACGCGCTCCAATGACTAAAGAGAGAGTGCACAGAGAGCGAGCGGCAGTCGATTTCTGCTGTTTGTCTTTGCATATGTTCGCACCTTTGGCGCTCGTTGGCCTGCTCGCTTTCTCTCTCTCTCTCTCTCAGTGCGCAGTGCGCACAGATAGCCGGCGAATATGCTTGAAACAGAAGAATACGAGAATAACAGAAATGAAATTCAAGCGAGCATATAATGCAAAATTCACTTTTGGCGCCTTCCTCGTCGGTTGGCGAATGCCCTCGCCGCCCGCAACAGTTTTGTGGTTGCTGCCTGATGGCGACAGCTAACCGACTGCGACGGCAACGTCAAACGCAGCCCCCACGTTCAAATGGCCCCGGCAGCGCAGTTGCCGTCAGTCTGCCTTGTCGTTGTTCGGAGTTTTCGTTCGCTCGACACATTCAGTTTCTTGTCGTCGCTCGTGGTAGGCAGAACAGCCAAACGCAGAAATCTCTCCGCAAGGCAACTCAGACAATTCGACTCGCTCTCGTCACTCAGTGTGTGAAAGCTCAACCAGCGGGCACGCCCCACCCTCCACCACCAATTTTTCATCCCCGGAACACAATAAATCGCGAAGGACTCGGTCCGCGTGTGTTAAAAGAATATATACATATTTAACAAAATAATATACAATAGTTAAACAAAATAAAACAAATACAAAATGAGCAGTAAGTTTTTACCAACAACAAGAGCGTTCGCCACGAAAGAAGTGAACACAGATAAAAAAAAAGTTAAATCCAAAGAGAGTCTGTGTGTGTGCGTGTGTATGTGTGTACTATGCATGGCTACTGCCTATCCATATCCACGTTGAGAGGCGCTGCTGGGCCTTCCCTTTGCAATTGTGTTTGCAATTGCGACTGCGACTGCAGCTCTTCTCCGTTTCTTTTTATCGCAATTAATAAATGCCGCAAGCAAATTGCATTCTCATATTTCATAACGCCGCATCTTCGCATAAATACATATAGATTCTATATACATAGTTGATATGTAACCGTTGAAATGAGATTGTCAACTACATGTGTTTTGGGGCCAGCAAATTGCGGCGACGACCTTTACTGACCTTCAATCGCATTTGCTTAGCCGCTGCCACTACCTCTGCCTCTGCCTCTGCTTGTGCGTGTATGCATGAGTATGACGGCGCCTCTGAGTGCATGTGTGCTTGTGTGTGTGTGTGTGTGCATGCAGAGCATTTAGATTTCGAAAACGAGGCGCATCAGAAAAAGACGAAAAATATATAAAAACATACACACAGACATACTGACATACATACAAAAAACGTCAGTTGTTTGTTTATGAAAAGTATGCGCGAAATTCAGTTAGACAAATGTTGACGCACTGATAACGTACCCACTGTGTTACGTGTGCCAGAGAGTCGAGCTTAAAGTTCGTGAGAGTGCGAGCGTGCGAGAGGCCGATTGAGAGCGTAAGCAAAGCTATGCGCGGCAGTGCATTGAGAGAGTTGGCAGAGGCCTTACCGCTATTCCCTTTTGTATTGTATCGCTATTCAACGTTTTTGCATAGTGAGCAAATTTTTGTTACTTTCTTATGCTTCTTTATGTTTTTGAAGAGAAATAGCGAGAGAGTGCGTGGTGAAGGTCAGTGCCAGATTTGTTGTTACTTGTCAGTTGTCGTCGTTCACGTCCATTGATTAAAGTAAGTCGCGACCCATGTAAGTAACTGTACAAGCTAGCGCCAGGCGGCAGAAAACAAATACAAATGATGATTATCATGGCTGATTACAATTTCCGCATTCAGTTGATGCGACTGCCCCTATGCCCATACACTGAGCCCTGTAGAACTGCATTTGCCTTGGCATTTTCACACGCGTCATGAATCGAATAAATATGTATAATCATATGCTATATGCATACGCAGGCATCAGTTATAGATGCAGCTATTTATAGACAGAGCAGACATCTAGAAATTATGGCTGGCGACAGGCGCTAACAATTCACAGTGGTATTTCACAATATTCGAGAAGAAAAAGTTTTCCACAGCCAAAAACGCCCACAATGCCAGCAGCAGAAAATTAAATGAAAATTTCAAGAAATGCCAATACACATACATATGAATACACATATTGTATATGTATATGTGTGTTTGTGTGTGTGTGTGTGTGTAACTATATCTGATGCCCGCATAAATCATAAGGCGCTGCCTTCTCCAGTTCGAGTAGCTCCCTTGCTGCGATTTCTAAAAATGTATTTGTGTCTATGAGTGCGTGAGTATCTGTATCTGTATCTGTGTGCGTGTGTCTGCGTATCAGCGTGTGCTGCATGCAGCTAGCAGAGTTTGCTGCTGTCGCGCTACAATTTCATTTCACATTTTCTGGCTATTTTTAGTGGCCTCTTCATCAGATACAGCTATATACACATACATATATTTATATATATGCATACGTATATCTGGCGGATACACACGCTTCTTCAGTTTTGCCGTATAACTCGTTTGGATGTTGGCATTGCTGCACTCGCTGATTTTTGCCGGTCTCTGAAAGTCGCCCATTGCTTTGCCGGCTGCCTCAAATGTGGCGCTCGCATTGGCATTGGCGGCGTTGCATGAACGAGTTTTCGTTGTTGGTCTGGCCATGCCCCTGCCCCATTCACAAGCTCTTCTCATTCATAGGTCAAATGATAGCCTCTACGCCTCATTGAGCATTTGCGGCGCCGTTGACCTTTTGTGCTGCAAGCTAATCAGCTGATGATAAGCCATGGCTGAGCAGGGGCGACGGAGCAGAGGGCAGAGGCCAGCTCCGAGTTTTAAGAGAGCACTGCAGCTGCTGCTGCGAGCTTTCATTTAGAACTAAGAGAGAGCCAGGGAGCTTTCGGTTACACTGCGCACAATTTCGCATCGCTTGCTTGCACAGGCAAACAGCTGTCAGTATTAAAATTCCTTGTCAGTTAAGTAGGTATATATATGAATATATTTTAAGATCGGTTCGTTTTTTAAATTTCTTGTGACATTTAGACAACTCGAACAGTTGTCTCCTCTGTTTGGACAGCCAAGTGTTGTTTATTTAATTTAAATCAAAATTTATGGATGACATTTTATTCTAAAAATAGATATACATATATATGATATTTTCATATTATTATTGTTGTTTGTGCTCGCATCCGGTAAGTCACGAAGTTATTAAAAACCATTTTTAGTTTGGCCAAGTAAATGATTTCATTTTTATTTTAGGCACTACAGCTCATTGCACATATAAAATATAAAGAATGTCAAGAACAAGCATACAAAAAAGAAAAAAACAAAATGAACAAAAAGATTTCAACAACACCCTGAAGTCGCATTATTTTGCACCCACACACATCCATTAAATCCGTCAGATACATTTTTGTATATGAGAGCGCCACCTGCCGGACGGCGGCACAGGCTGTCACCAATGCATTCAGCTGTTGCTGTTGCTGCTACTGCTGCTGCTGTCGCTGCTCCTCTTCTCCTCCTCCGTCGTTTCCATTCGCTGCCGAATGCGTAGCACAGAAGGTAGTTCTTGTTGTTGTTGTTGTTCTTGAAATTGAAATATTTATCTACATCTAAACGCTTCTCAACTACCAAATCCGGTGCGCTTTCTAATGCTAAATAAACCTTACAGATTATTTGGCGATACCAAAAACCCAACAATATGAACTAATCATGAATTTAACCCCCAACTAAAGTGATTTACAGCCACCTGTACAAAGAACTCTCCTAAATTTGTAGAAATTAATATTCCAACAACGAATTTTACCATTGTCCATAATACAAACTGAAAATAAATTATTATTTTTTCTATAATAACGACGATCTAATGAATTTGTATTTTATTTTCTTGCATGGATATTTATTTATTTAAAATTTACAAATTATTTTTATCAATAGTAAAAAGGATTTTTAGCTAGGAAATGACTAAAGATTAATTTTTCGTTTATTATTAAAAATACATATAATTATGTAGTAGAGAAATAACAGGGATTTTGAGTAAAGTTTTATAAATTTTTAAATTTTTTATGTGTATATAAAAATTAAGTGAAATTATGCATCATTCAATGTTTAATAATCCGTTTAATTTACATAGATCTATAAAAAAATACTGAAATTGTCAAGATTCAAAGTAATATATATTTTATTTTATTTTTAATTATGTTTTACCTAGCAAAAAAATATTGATAATCCTCTTAGATTTACGAGCTGTAATATCTCTTCTATATATGTATATACTTTACTATTTAAGCCTAAGTCTAACATCATAAAAATATAATTTTCATAGGCCATTAAAGAGCTTGTTAATAAATTTATTCAACGCCTACATTAATGCAACATTTCCCAACAAAAATTTCGATTTTATTTGGATAGTGAAAATGCATAGCTCATTTATGTAAAGAAAAAAAAATATATATATATGTACATAAATATAT